TAAATCAATATAATATTATTTCCACAAACCCTTTAATGCAACATTAATAAATAATTCACTAATTACTCCTAAATCCCTCCAAATTAATAATCCATTATAAATTCCAAAATAATTACACAATATTTTGTAATGATAATGAATTATTCATAAAGCATTACTTTATGATTTCATTGCTGAAGGATTCAAATTAGAGATGATTTCTCATTAACTACCCCAAAAAGTAGAAGCAAGAAAAAGAAAAAACAACATAACAATTATTTGAGTCATTTAGCCTAAAGGTTTGCTGTCAAAATGAAATAATTATTTGTAAAACCTTTTTTTCTTTAGTTCAACGGTGGAAGTTAAGGGTGGAGATTGATTCTTAGGTAACTTATTCATCCAACTGTGTCTAGATTCGATAACTATTTAGAAATTTTTTAAATTATTCATCAACTACTTGATAATTAACTATTTTATTTTTAATTTTATGCTTTTGAAAATGATGTTGGTTTGTGTACAACTTCATTAGTACAATTTTCACGTATATTGAAAACATGGCTGAACTCTTGTTCAAATTTAAAATCAAAAACGAAATTTTGAATTTTTTTTCTCTTCAAATTTTGACATAGATTTTTAAAATGTTTTAAAAAACTATATAACAATACAAAATAATGCAAATGCTGCATTAGTGGATGAAGCAGAAGCCCTTGCAACGATGGAAGGTCTTCGATTGGCTTCGGATTCATGAATTTCTCCAATCCAGCTTGAGACTAACTCTTTATAGGTTTTCAATCCCTTGAAAAGTGAAGAAGAAGATCTGTCAGAAACCGGATTGATCATCTCCTTTGCAAAATCGACATTTTCGAAAAGGTTGCATGCAGTTTTCAAGTTCACAAAGAGGGATGAAAATGTTGGCTCATCTTCTGGCACGAAGAGCCCTCTAACGGTAAGAACATAACATCTGGATGGAAGAGTGGTCTGTAGAGATATCAGATATGTTGGTTGTTGAATGTCTTGATGTTTTACTTTATTTCATTTGTCAAACCAAAGAAAAGAAAGAATGCAAAATGTAATAGTGATGTTTATAAGCTTGTCAAAATAAGCATAGCTCAATAGTAATTAACATATATCTTTAATTAAGAAGTCGTGAGTTCAATCCACCATCTTACATGTACTTAAAAAAAATTTAATAAGCTTAATTTTTAAAAGAAGAATCTTCACCAGGTGGGGCCAAAAGTAGTGCTGATAGTTTTTCAAAAATTTATTTTTAATGTTTAAAAACACCGCTCAATTGATTAATTAAGACATATTTTTTAAATCAAAAAGTCGTGCTCGAACTCTCACCTCTACATATAATTGTACTGAAAAAATACTGATCAATTAGATTTCAACACAGTATTTCATTACAGTTTTATAGCTATATTCTAATAACATCTTTTGGTGTTTATATTTACATATTTGAGTTTTTTTTCAATGTATTTTAAAAAAGTATCTATTTTCAACTCTATTTATAAAATTTTAACACAAAATTTATATACAATGAAAGAACTTTAATACAAAACTACGACTACCTTTACCGCTAAAATTATGATAGAAGCAAAATCATATAAAGATGAAATTGAAATGGTCAAAATATCACAATTTAAAACTACAATGATTAAAATATAAATTTTAAAAGAAGACGTTTTGAAAATACAAACAATTAGGGACGAAAATATCATTTATGAGCTCTAATTATTTGGGTTGAGTAGCAAATAATTTTCCAACGCCCACATGATTGTATGAATTATGGGAGCTTGACAATCAATATTACTTGAGACAAATCGATTGGTTCACGAACCACTTTTGTCAATACGTGTAAAAGCCTCCTCCTTTGAGAATATACACATCACCTTTCTTAATAAATACTTTACCTACTTAACTTTGTCTTTTTTTTTTCATTATAATTATTGTTTTTTTTTGGTGGGACATCCACGTAATTATTTCTTGATTGATCTTACTTTATAAACTCCATATCAAATCACATCTTAATTATAAAGTTGGGATTGGGATTAGGATTGAGATTGCAAAATTTCGTCCTTTTTTTTGTTCACTCACTTTTGATTAATTGATTTTATAATTGGTGTCATCATGGGGTGATATGTGATGTAATTATTTTGCCTTTCAATTTTATTTTTGGAAGATTTGAGAATCGTAATAGAGTTTATGTTAAAATACTAGTTTGGTCTTTGTACTTTCTCATTTTAGTCTTCGTACGTTGAGAATGTTCATTTTGTTCTCTGTACTTTAAACTTTGGTTCATTTTAGTCATTGTATTTTGAAAATGTTCATTTTGCATTTTGGTCCCTTTACTTTTAAAAAGCGATCATTTTAATCCCTCTTTGCAAAATTCTAACACGAATTTTACACATAATGTAAACACTTTAGTATAAATTAGTGTTTACATTTTATGAAACGCATTGATTTTAGTGTTGTATTGAAATTATGATATAAAAAAGTAAGACAGAGAATAAATAGTTGGTCAAAATGGTCACTTTTTAAAAGACAAGAACTAAAAAAACACATTTCAAAAGTATAAAGACCAAAATGAACCAAAATCGAAAGTATAAAAACCAAACTATTATTTTAACCAGAGTATATAAGTCAAAGGAGGGGGAGAAAAGATATTATTGTTTAATTTTTTTTATAGGAATTATTGTTTAGTTAAAAGGAGAGGACATGGGCAAAAAGCATAGCCATCTTGATACTTTTGATTTTTATCACTACCTCATTTTTGCACTTCATCAATAAAGCTATCTTTTACCAGGGATCAGGGAAACTTTTATATATATATATATATATATATATATATATATATTTTAATTTTTACATTGCTATCACTTGATAATTGAATTTGAACCACCTTGAGAAATTTAAGTAAGTATTGAATGAAAAATTTGTGTGAAGTTACAATATTGGAAGCATGAATAAAAAAATGATTTAAAAACGAAAAATACGTCTCCATGCAATCTATTTTATTACATTATGTCATGTCATTTTTTATCAGGAAAGAGTAATTTTTTGAGATCATTGAGTCCAAATCGAAAATAAGAAAAATAAAATTTATGAGAACTAGTTGAATATGGTTTCATTAAATTCAAATTGAAAAACTAGTTCATTTTTGGTTGGTTTGGTCAAACAATCATCAATTTCAAATTTCAACAACCAATCTTAAAATTTTTAAAAAATACATGCATAAAGTTTTTGTGTATTGAAAAGTTTAATATAAGAAATCAAAATAACAATTAAAATAAATTTCAAATTGTGATTTGATTTGATTAGGGAAAAGGATAGGAAATAATGGGCCCAAGGGGGAAAATAAAGAAGAAAAGAGAATAAAAATAAAATAAAAGAAAACAAAAGAAAAAGGAAGTGGAAGTGGAAGTAGGTTTCAATTACATAGAAGAAGGGGCACACTACCCAAGCCAAATCCCCTCCCACCTCATGGGTGGGACCCACACTACTTTTGCAAATTCTTTACCTATTTCCCTTTTTGCCCTTTTTCCAATCCAAAGGCTCCTTCTGCCCTTTGCCCTACTTTACTTTAGTGGGGATGAAGAGAGTATATACTCAAATTTGTATTTTAGGGTTTTTAGAGAATCAACCTTTTAACTTCAAATTCCATCCCCCTCCCCTCTTTTTTTCCCCCACTTTTCAATTTCAGGTTTTTGCCTTTTATATCTAATTCCTCAACACTCACTCACATGCTTTGTAGCCAAATCAATCATATTTGCTTAGCCTATCTCTATCTAGTTTGGAATGACTTTTTAACAAAACGTTTTTCAAATTTTTTCTACGAGCACGTTTTAGAGACTTTGCTTTTTGATATTCGTGAGTGTTTAAATCAGTTTACGCGCATTTCAACTCATTTTACTCCACAACCGCTGATCCTACTACATTTAGTTGTTAAGGAAATTTCACCATGGGCATATTTGGAAGAATTATTAATTTTAGTTTACTTTTTAAGTGAGTTTAGATAACGAAAAATGCGGTTTCTTTAATAAGATCTACCATTGTTTAGTAATGAATAAAAAATATTTTAAAAATAGATTACTTTAAAATCTATTTCTAAGGAAACATTATTATCCAAAAGGTCGACATTTTTGTAGTTCAAGCACTTGAAAGATGATTGCTCATAGAAGTCTAAAAAATATATTTAAATTAAGACATGCACCAAACTCACCCAAATTTAAACTTTGAATTATACTTCTATTAGTTATTGTTGTTAAAATCATTATGAAAAAAATTGATGTGACATGACATGAAAGGACCATCGTATAAAAATTGGCTTAAGCTGATTCAGAGAGATAACCCGAGCTTTAGACACTCGCCCTGCTTCTAAATCTCGATAGAAAAGGTTGGGAAGTGCTAGATGCGGAATGCCTGCTTTCTTCGCTCCGCAAATGAGAGCTAAACTTAGAGGAAAAAACACGGTGTACTGTAACAAAAAGTTCAATAAATAAATAGATATGTTATGTCTAAATGTCTTCAATTCAGAAGATAATAGAAATCCAATTTAAGAAGGCGTGATTGAGAAGACTCAGACATGGTGCTTAAAACTTCAAGAAGCTGATTATTTTCTTCTTAAATAAAACCTCAATCTTTCTTTATATATATGTATAATGGAAATTTTGGGAGTGACTAAAACAAATGAAAAACTTTATTTGAATAAAAAGATAGTAGGGAAATAGGAAGAAGTATTGTTTCATGTAAATGGATGATGAAGTAGAGAGGTCCAATGAGTTTCTCAATTGGGCCTAAACTAGGGAAGGAAAGCCCACCAGCTATATTAGGCCCTCAATAGTCAATAGTCTGTTGGGAAGTTAAGGGTAAAAATGTAATTTCAAAGTAAGCAAATGAATTTGACTAAAGGCCCAATTCAGTAAATTCTGTTTGGGCTTGATGAATCTGGGAAAGCCCACTAATTATCAATAATTTAAATATAGTTTTTAATAGTTGTCAAAAAAAGAGAAAATAAAAAGAAAAAAAGCTGTCGGTATTATACGTTATTACCCTCAGGTCTCAGTTCCTCCGCACTTCGCAAACTCGCGTCGGCGCTGCTTCCTCGTCGCCGCTCACTGGCCGGAGCCAAGATCGTTGCCACTTGCCGGAGCCAAGCCTTGTTGCGCCTTCGTAGTTCGTAATCTGCCTCTTCTGGGTTCAATCCGTCGCACTATTCTACGACCAAGACTTGCAGAATCAGAGGTGAGTGATACTCGATTTTCGAGAAATTTTGGACCGAAGTAACTTTTCTGTGTCTTTCTTCAGCATCAGTCACCGACGGTTAAGCCTCCTGGACTCTATGGTTGATGATTAACCCCCTCTCTAGTTTCTGCTTAGTGATTTTATAGACTTATATATGCCTCTCTCTGCTTGGATTTGATACGAATTTTCTCTTTGATGTGGGTTTCATCTCTTATAATCTTGAATTAGGATGTCTATATCATCATTTTATTTGAAATGAAACGATCTTAATCTGTATTTTTCTTCTTCTTGTTCCATTTCCCTTCGCATTTTCGACTTTTTGATGAATTTTTTTTGATAGAATAAACAAGAGAGAACAAGACATCCTTTTTTTCAGGCTTCGTAAAATTAATGGAAAAAGCAGGAGAGAACTGACTCAATGGGATATGTTGGTTTGTGGTTTTTTGTTTCTCTCTCTCTCTCTCTGTATATATCTGAGATGTGGGTTATGCTATTGGGTCACAGAACGTGGGTTGCATTACATGCATGTGTTCTTATACGAGAGGCGGCATAAAAATTTAGGGAGAGAAACAAAGCAATGAACCAATCGGAATGAATGGTTTGGTTTGATTCAGTTCTTTAGTGTTGAGTTTATTTCAAAATAAAACCAATATGTTTCAAGGAGTTTTTAGAAAATTGAATTGAACCTAGCCAAGTTTTTGTACGCCCCTATTCGTTAGGGTTCTATGAAACACAAGGTTGGCATTTTCCTTTCAGATTGTTTATTTTTTGTGTTTTTTGGTTGTGTATAGTCTCACTTTCTTAGTCTTTGAATTCAAGCAGCATTGGTGTAGCCATGTTTTTGACACGAGTGTTTGGGAGAACACTTCTAGCTGCTGCTAGATCAGAAACTTCTTCTGCAGCAGCTGCTGCTTCTACCGTCCGGACAGGCTATAATCCGCTTGAGGAGTTTTTTGAGGCAGATAGAAGTCCAGATGACGACAAACCTGTTGTATATGGTATAATCTTATTATGCCCTTGAACTTTGGTCTTTGTTAATAACCTCTAAATTTGTATTTTGGTTCATTCGTTTTGCAAAATTTTTCCCAAGATACTTTTCTTTGGGAAAATTGATCCAAATTTATACCTGGGCGTCTCCGATGTAGTGTAATTTCAAGTCTTGAAGGCTTCACTCACCCATGGGAATGAATACAAATTTATCAGATACTGCCACTGCATTAAAAGAAATAATCCTTCTCATCGCACATGGAGTCTGAATGCATCTTTTAGGATAACAAGACTAGAAGTGGCTGAGGAATACTTAGTCCAGTTGAAACAATTGGTCACTCGGGGCGGTGGATTCTACTTCATTTGATGTAACATTATCATTAATGCTTCACGGTTTTATGTTACTGTATTTTATATAAGCATAACAGGCGAAGAGGAGTAACTATTTCTTTTAAGTAAATATGCTTGACTGATTTCACATACAAAATCTAATTAAGCAATAGCACTTTGGAGACATTGTTGTGTATGTATGTATCTGATCGTTTGCAAAGTAAAAATAGGAGCAAGGAACCTAAAGAGCGTAGCAGTCATGTGATTTATGTCTGATCTGTCTGCATAGATTCTCAACCTGTCAGTGCTTTCTTATTGGAAACTGTGTTATGCGTGCCAAGTGCCATATCATCAGCCCTTGAAAATTTAATGTGCACCTTTGTAATGTTTTATAAATTGTCCTGTGGTCGCACATGTGATGAAAATTTTGTTTTGTCAATATTTTTAGCAATAGCATCTATTCGGTGTGGTTACTCTCTTTTAATGAATTTGTGGTACTGAAAAATGCTTTCTCTTTGTCAAGTATTTTGTTGGAGGATTTTCAATGCATACTTCTCATGTCAATATGGATATTGCAGCTTTACTCGTATAGGAGAAAATGAATTCCTAGTAGTTTGGTTGTGCCACCTATGTGAGTTATTAGTATCTTATGAACTTCCTGACATGGAAATTCTGTAGGATTAGCTGATGCACATACAGGTTGGCCTGGATACTTTCTTTAGTATATAATGATGAATCTCATGGCTGACATTGTACGCATTCTTCCGAAGCTATATATTGAGATTCTAATTGCAAAATCTTTATGCTGTCAGGTCGAAGTTGGAAGGCTTCAGAACTGCGGCTGAAGTCTTGGGACGATCTTAATAAGCTATGGTATGTTCTGTTGAAGGAGAAAAATATGTTGATGACTCAGCGCCAGATGCTTCATGCACAAAATCTAAGGTTTCTTAACCCAGAACGCATTCCCAAGGTGAACTTGACAGAACTTTTGCATTCTTTTTTAAATTGTAAATATCTCTTCCATTTGATTTCTACCCTTCTCCTCGTCCTTGTTAAGTTCGCGATATCATAGCACAGATAATAACTATCCTTTCCCTACTTCTCCATACTGATCTCAATCGTGGTTGTTGGTGATCAAAATTCAGGTGAGGAAGTCCATGTGTCGAATCAAGCAAGTACTTACCGAGAGAGCCATCGAAGAACCAGATCCACGAAGATCTGCCGAGATGAAGAGAATGATAAACGCTCTGTGATAAGCTAACCAACCAGTGGAGCTTGTCATCCCATCCCAGTCACGGAAGGAGGAAGAATTAGCTAGAGAATCCGCCCAAACACCTCTGTTAAATTCAAATTCTGTAATCAAATGATCTCGTTAGAAGAAGCCCGGAAATTGTTTTACGCTTTTTCTAATCTTGTTTTAGCAAACACTAATCATCAGAGTTTTGAAAGATGTTTTGATTTGTCCCAACATGAACATGGGCAAGTTTATTCTAGAAGATTTGGAATACCCCATAGATCTGATATGTGTGGAGGAAGTTGAAAAGTTGTGGAGTTGACAAACAAAAGGGAAAAATGATGCTTTTATGGTGAGCTGTTGGGAAAACGAAAGAGAATGTGTGAGTGATGGTTTTGGTTTTGGTTTTGGTTTTGGCTATGCCAGTGCTCATTCCAATTCAAGGGGGCAGAGCCACATGATTGGATTAGACATGTTTCCTTTTTTATTAGCTTCTTAATCAAGATTGTTTATTTATGAAAGGAAAAAAAAAAGAAAAGAAAAATGAAGCCCACTTTGGAAGTGCTTCTACAATGAGTAAGCCGAGATCCGCCATGTGGCACGATCTCATTGGAGAGATGGAAACAAACTCAGTTTTCAGTGAGATGATTTATGTTGCGTCACCTTAAAATAGTAACGGGTGTTGGAACAGCTCAAGACAACCTTAACCTATTCCTTTGGAAACTTTTTTACGTGATGATTTGGTGACAGACAGCGTCACCGGTAGGGGTAACATTATCAGCCCACCCATACCCGAAAACGGGAAGTGGGACCCGGAAATGACGAAAT